TCAGGTGTGCAAAGTCCAAACAGATGTTTAACAGTGCTTTACCCTGCTCTGTCTATGGCAATGTGCAGCCAAGAGAGCGACATATGCTCTGCTTGGGCACCGTCTAACCCCTTTCTCTGCAGGTGTGGGGTTTATACACACAACACACTAAGTATAATGAGATCTTCATTAATGGAAAATAGACAGCACCCCAATTTATATTTTAAATGAGAGAGAACTTTTCCAAAAGTTCAGAGTTGAGGCCTTGTACCACTGCCCAGGGTAGGAGGGGCCATTCAGCATGGGGAGTAGAAAGAAAAGTCAGTAGGGGAAGAGTTATCCTTTTGGACCTTAGCTCTTAGGTATGGTTACACGTTACATTGAGAATACTGCTTGCAAATACAAAGAAATATCATAAGAATCAACAGACGAAAGTGAGACCTGGAAAATGCCTATTCCAAGTGTCAAATTAAAACTTAAGAATTGTGGCTTAAGGGAAGTGAAATTCTATAGTATCAGATAAAAGGCAGTAAAAGAAGGGAAAAAGAAATGGATACAGACAAGTAATAGAGGGCTTGTGAGACAAAAAGTGGGAACATGATGTAGACTTTACTACAAACTACATTGCTATTCCAGATTTCAGTAAGTACCCCTGGCTCTTCAGGGAGAGAGTTTTTTTTTCTCTAGTACTTCTGCAAAGGTGTCCTTGTGGGAACAAGACTGCTTTACCAGACTAAAGCAGTCCAGCCTCTTTAAACAATCTTTCTGTAAATTTCTAATCCATTAACAAATTAATTTCTGAATTTCGGGCCCAATTACTGATAGTGGACATACAGTGCTCCCAGTAGAATACAGAAATGAGAGTTTTCTCTCATAAATGAAGCCCTGACTTACAAAGAATTCGTGCTATGGCCTTCTGATAGCATGTCCTGTGCTGCTAAATTTTTATGTTTTCTATGGCACAAGTTCTGGCCTTTGTTGGAAGGGTGGTTTTTATGTCACAGTCTGTCTTGATCTCTGTTTAAGACACTGTGGTTGTATATTTATCTATAGGTAGCCAACAGCCTAACCTTGTTCATGTAACATAAATACCACAATCTGTCCTAGTCAGAGGATGTACCTTCTTTTGATAAAGAAACAATAAAATACATCTGGAATAACCCACTTCATGCAGCAGATTGACTCTCGAATCACGTTTGTTGATGTTCTTGTCTTCCCCTTCTCATTGCCACTTTAAGAATTTCACCCAAAATGCTACTCCCAGAGAGAAAAAGTGACCAAAAAAGAATTGCATTTAGCCTACACAGCTCGGTCTGAAAATATATCATGATTGTGAAAGCGTCAATTAAAAGTGACCCCACCTTACTCAAGAGACCTGTACAATATGTGGATTAAAATCAGACATGCTAACTTCTGTGGCACTAGCAAGTTCTTATTTTCCATTGCCTCATGATAGACAGCACTGTGCCAGCACAGCAAATAAGAATAATCAGAAATAAGCTCATAAGAAGCTCGTCTTTTAATTTTTTCATTACTAGGGATCACACAAAAGGCAGAAGGAAGTAGACATCTGAAGATATCAGGCAAAAGAGTATTGTGGGGATAAAATAAATAGCAGTTGACTAAAAAATTGTGTCCGCTTGATCCGGACTCACTAAGAAAAAGAAAACTGGGGTACCAATTATCAAGCAAAGAGAAAGAGCTATTCTGCTGGTTGTTTCTTGCAGGTCAGACATAGGAGCACCCCCAACAAAGGGAATATTGAAGGTGTTTGATGGTGTCTCAGAGCAGGAAGAACTACAGCCAGGGGAAGAGGTAGAAACATTCTGTGGGGACCAACCCAGAAAAAGCAAACTTCAGGACCAAGCACCAGCAGGAAATTGATGTTTATAATATTTAAGTCATCTGTAAGGGAAATATTGTGATGGTGTGTTGTATAAAGAGCAGACTCAGGCCAATGTTTGCTTATGTGTGTTTTAAGTAATATGATATGACAGACCACATCAGATCAATGGCGCTGATTAATGAACAGCTCTGGAAAAGTAGCTAACAAGAGATGAAAGGGTCAAGACACAAATTTCAGGAGGGAGGAGAAAGAGGATCAGTGCCTCAGAATATGGAGTTATGGTCCAGGAGCCCATTAATCATCAACATTATTATGTAAAGTACCACATTTTCTCCTGACTTTATGCCCACTGCAACTCCACTGAAGCCAGTATAGAATTGACCTAAAGTGTACATCTTAAATCACAATCTGTAATACACCACTGCTATCATAAAACAGACCTTCCTTAATAAAAACAGCAATACAATTAATGTTTCTTATAACCTCTAAATTACCAGATAAAGCTTGGGAAGATCAAGGTGGAATAAAAGCATATATAAAATGCCCAAATTACTATCATTAGTGGAAATATTTAAGTAATAAGAGTCTGCATTTCTGGAATGCATTCATGCAGAAAACCTATCTTCCAAAATCTTAATTAAGCACACAGTACCTCATGGAGCAGAAATGTAATGCTTTCCTTTTCGGGATGGAGGAGCCCTGGTAGAGAGGGGAGAAGTTGCTTAACCCAGTGTCACACATCCCATTCCCCTGTTGTCCTGCTCGTCTATCTTTTAGCCCAATCTTCTTAAGGTCAAAAATCCTTTTCCTCTAATTTTCCCCAAGCTAGATTAAAACTTTTAGAAAAATTCAGGGTGTTTCCTTCTCTGATGCACTCCCCATGTCTTCTGAAGCACCATCAGCTTTGTTGATTTTATGTTCTTAAAATGCACCTATCAACTGCTGATGATCTCAGTACTTTATGCTCATCACACTGGAGGAAAAGAGATGTATCTTCACAGGCCATAGCAAAAATTACGGAGAAAAATTCAGATATTTTAAGTGTTGCCTTTCACAGAGATTTTAGTGCCCAGATTTTGTAGAAGACTTTGAACAGCCCATCTCTAACAACTTGTCTGCCTGACCCTTGATGCGGAGCCAGATTGAGTGCTAGGCAGTGCTACAAGAGAGAGCCACTTGGATTGGGATCCCAGAGATTGGAAGAGCAATAATGACACAAAAAGAGAGGTGACAAAATATGCAGGATTAGTACATGCAGTTCTTAGGCTTCTCTTGTGTGAAATTAGGAGTGAAGTGAGCAGGAGTTCTGTCAAAGTAAAGACTAAAGACCTGATCCTGTGATTTTTCTGCTTCTAGTACAAGTTAAAAATGCATGTTAACTGAAATATTGGGCAGTCTTTAAGGCAGACGGGTTTTATGCCTTAAAAAGGTGAGCAATAGCCAGATAAAAGACAGACTGATGCGTGCAAAGTGGATATAAGAAGCGAGGTCATCATTAACAGAACAGGTGGGGTGAATATGGAAGTGGGAAGGAGAGCTTGAAACTAAGCCATGCTGAGTGTTAGCAAGGACTTAAATCTACAGAATCCTTGAGCGTTAGTGCAACTTTGAAATTCAGCCCTTGGTAGTGGTCAAAAGTGTCACTGTTTTATGTAATTCTTTTGAGCTAACCTGATGCTGGTGTATGGTTCCTCTCCAAAACCCTGGTGAAACTCTGAGGTTCAGGCTAAGTTGAGGATTTTTGTGTGCGTGTTTAAATTTACTCAATTTGCAATTCAAAGCAGATGCCAAGAGGGGAGAACCTACAAAAACTGGAATCAAAGAAAACGTTTGCTTGAGCCCCTGTGAAGTGTAGCTGCCAGGTTTCATGTAGCCTCTTGAAATCGGGATGTAGCATATATCCCAGCCACCAATAAACGTCATCATTACAAAATGTAAAAATTGAACATAAAACCGAATGTATATTTTGTGAAGTACATTATTACAGTGTCATCTAAAATCCTTCATTGTGTCTGCTGGCACTCATTCCGGTGTTCCTGCTGCACGAACAGTGGGGGTTTTTTTATTGTGTTGCATTTACAGACATAAATTCCAACTTGCACAGTGACATTAACTACCTGTGAAATAACAATTACATCTCTTATGATTTTTTGTTCACCTTCTTGATTTCTCTGATAAAGCAAATATTTGCTTTTCTTGTCTGATCAGAGTAGGCAAAATCATTTATTCATGGAAATAGCACCATTGGCTTCACTGTGGGTAGGACTGAATATGCCGATGTCCCAGGAGTTCTTTGCATAAGTGAAGTGAGCAGGATTTAATTCTGCCCCTGGACATACTTCCAACATCCACAATGAGCCACCCAAAGATCATAAGAAGCTAGCAAAGGAGGAGTTCTGTTAGTCTAGAGAGAGATTCAAGTCCCCTAAAAATGTAAATACTCCCAAAAGCTTAGGTCTGGGTAGTGAAATCACCCTCCAATAAATACTGGAGCTGAGGTGTTTCTTTGGATCCCTTTCCGTATTAGTCCATTTAGTCCAACTCCCTCTTTAGCTCGGGAGATTTCGGACATAAAACTGCCACTGAGCTGAATCTTTCCTGAAGGGCTGACAATAAGTTACTTCACTGGATTCATCTCAGTAGACCTGGTGGCTGATAGGAGATAAGTGGGCTTTCTGCTTTAATGTGAGCCATCATTTTTTGTGATGTAAAGACAGCAAAAGAAGCAAAGGAGGATTTTTCCTTCCTTTTCCAGCCTTTCAGTGCTGAGGAAGTGTTTGTTGCTGCTCCGAACAGGACTAGCCTTGTTGTTGGTTGATCTGATGAGATGCACTTGAGTGCCAAGTTTGTGCTAGCTCTCCATCACTGCTCCGTGCTCATGCCATTAGAGTGAGCAACTTCTCAGAATGAACCCTACTGATAACGCTTTGCTGGCTGATCCTCCCTCTCCTCCTCACTTCACCAGAATAGGTTGCATGGGCAGACTGGGGTAACCAGGAACTGACTCTGTTGTTGTTTGCAGCTAGGACTGGAGGGATTGAATTCGGCACTACCAGGCTGCAGCCAGCTGTACTGACAGCGGAGAATGCCAGTTAACGTTGCAGCAAGTTTTCTTGCTCTCAGTAAATAATTATTATTTCCCCCTGACCTTTCCTTTTGGTTCTTTCTGTTACAGACACAGCCTCTCTCTGTTCCCTGCCCCAATGAACGTCTGCACTAGGTCCAAGGCTTGGAGTAATTTACCTGAAGAGTGATACCATTTGGAAACCACTGTAAGTATATATTATCTCTTATAAAAGACTTCTTGTTTCAGAAAAAAAAAAAAAATTAAAAAACAAAACCAAACTGCAGCACCTGTGAGCGTTACTGACGAGGGTGAGCTAAGTTTTGCTTTTGAAATTTGCAAGGAAATATGTGGGAAAAAAATATGTCAATAAAAAAACTGTTAAATATTTAAGTCATAGCCTCACAGCATAGTTCAGCAATGGCTGGTTTGATGTGCTTGTATCTTTTAGTTTGGCAGGTTCTCCCTGCTTACTGCTCTAGTTCATCTGTTCTAGTTGGTTCATCCATGTTTGTCTTCAGAGTGTTTATCTTGTTTTTTATTCTTACTACTTTTTAATGAGACGATTTTCCTCTTGTTGGTGTTTCATGCAATACAGATTGAATTTACTGCAACTCCTTTAAAGGTTTACACTGTTCTGGGCCTTGAGTCATTTATGATTTAAGGCCATCACAATTTGGTAGATTTGGCTGGATTACGTAGTCGCCTGAGAGAATTTTGACTTTGCATTGTGGTTTTATTGTGCTCTGAAATTATCAATTGCCTGTTATTTACACCTTTTTCCCTGTAGACCTCATATTTTTGATTTCTTATGATCGATTCTCGGTGCTTGCCATTATTGTTGCAGTGTTGCGAGAGCCAAGATGCTCTGAGGTTTTAAGTCAGGCCTAACTTTCGTGAGACTTGTGGTTTAGATGGAAAAAATGGACAAATTTGCAGGGGCATATAAATCCCACTTCAGGCCTCAAACAGACCCTACAAATTTCAATCTTAGTTTAACTTATTCTCCAAGTTTAATTTAATTATGTTAATCAGTCTCCTGTAAGGGATTTTGGAGTTTATTTTACTTTTCTGTGTTGATTAAATTTTCCAGGCTTTTATTGCACTAGAACATTGGGCCTCTCTTGCCAGTTCTCTGTGCTTCCCATTCTTGCTCTACAGTGTTCTGCTGGGATTTCTCTTTCATATTACATTTTATGGCGATGTTTTCAGGAGTTTGTGTTTTCCATTGTATGACACAAACTTGCAATCAGAGATTTTAAACAAACTGCCAGTCATGTAGCTGTAACAGCATGAAGATCAATGTGGCTGCAAATCATCAGAGAAGCTGTGTGAATATTCAGGCAGTCAGCCTGTGCAGGACTTTTTAACTACTGAAGCAACACTTCTGGCAGGAAAGCTGGGATGGCTCAGGTGGTTTAAAGCAAGCTTGTCTCGGGGAGCTTCATCCTCAGGTCTGGCATTCGGTGTGCCCTGAATTTTGAGGTGAGGTCGCTAGGCACATTTCAGTGCTTTTTACTGGGTTTGGGGCTTTACATATATATATATATATATATATATATATATATTCAGTGATTGTACTCATCTCTCTTTCACTTTGTCACTTTCTAAATATGTATTGTCAATGTCATGTCTGGAAGAGACACAACAGTGGCAGTGATAAGCACTGATATCAGGAGCTGTGTTAGTCGCACACAGGCAGAGGAAGAATGTGCAGCAGAACACTCGGGAAAAATATCACTTGAAATCAAACGTGAACTATTTTCACACCCTTGTATTTTTAGGATCTGAAAAGCCAGGGGTTCTTTGTAATTATATGCAGTCTCTGTGAATTACTAAGGTGAACTGTACACCAGTGAGTTAAGCGCAGTGCTTGGGCACTACAGGCATCTCTGACCTGACAGCACTTAATAGAAGGTGATGCCATATTTGTGAGGAGGAGAAATAATCCCTGGAACATGGGTGGGCAGACTCAGCCAGCAGCAGCACTTGTAACAACATCAGCAACCCTGTGGTGTGTTCCCTCTGTGCTGTTTAGTATGCAATGAACAAAGGTCTGGTTGGTGACCCAGCCCTCCCTGTATTCAGAGGCTGAAAACTGCCTCATTATTGTTCATTATGTAGTATTATTCTCATACAGTCACATTATCATAGTTTCCCCTGAGAGCCAGGATGCTACTGTGGGTTCTGCGCAGCTACACTGGTTCCTATACCTGAGCTAAATTGTTTATTGCTAACCTGGTGTCTGCAGGACAGAGAGCTGTTCCTTGTGTAAGGGGAGGTTCAAGCGTTGGTTATAGCTGCTTGTCTAAGAAGTACAACAAGCATACATTGCCTTGTTTTGACAGAGACCTGGTTTGATGGCCCCTCTGCGAGAACGTGGTAACTCATTGAGGAGAAATTGATTTCAAACTCAAATAATGGTTGCAAGGGAGATACATGCAAAGAAATCATGTGTAGAGAGCAAGTGGAGGGTTGGGGGAGAGAAGGCTGTATGTGAGAGTGGCAGCAAGAAGGGTGAAGCATAGCAGTGGTTTTAAAGGCATTCCAATGCTCAGAGGTAGCAATTAGTTTATCAACAGATTTGAGGTTAGGACATCCAAAATATTACCCGTTCTCCATTCAAATTAAACAGAAAGAAGCCAATTCTGTTTTGCAGCCAGTGTCCAGACCCTTGCAGTCACTGCAGCACTGGGAGTTGTCCACTACTTGAGACCTTGTTGTATGATAATGTAAAGGTAGATGGAAAGGAGGGAGTGCCCCACTGCGATGAAGATACTGACAGAAAACAGGAATAAAAAGGTGGCAGCGATTTTACATCTTGCTTTACACTGGAAAGTGCTGAGGCACACAGTTCAGTTCAGGGATGACAGTGGATGCAGTTAGCCTGATACTAAGTACTGGAGAGCACACAATCATGAAAAAAGAGAATGTATTTTAAGTAGTGTAAATTAACATAATGAAAAAATAACACAATAAATATAAGTGAACACTGAAAAGTGAATACCAACTAAATTCAAAAGCAAAGTACCTGGACATAGGGTAGAAAATTTACAGAGATGGAGTAGGTAGGATGTCTAGAAATGGACTGGATAAATCCCTTATCAGTAATAAATTGGTAGCAAATATGAACTCTGCAGTGACCCTCAGTATTCAGGTTAGCTTAGAAAGGTCAACATCTTTTCTGTCCCCAACTTCTGGGAGTCTGTGCATCAGGTCCATATGCTCAATTGCCACGTTGTTGCTATATCAGCCTTCTGCCATCCTTCACAAGAAGCAAAGATGATGATGACCCTCTGATAATTTGTAGAATGGGTGTAGTATTTGGAAGCACTTGTGATGCACCACAGGTGTGTGTATAGAGCTCAGAGATAACTGGAGATCATAATGGAGCCCCTGGCTCCAAGGGCATGTTCCCGAGTCTTTTGCAAGTAAGTTGTGACTTTTATTGCTCATACTAACAAGTATAAAACAAACTCCTTTTTTCCAGAATTAGTCTGTAGAGAAGAACATAATCACATGAAATAAAGTAGCAAACTACACTGACCCTTACTACTGAAATAACCCCACAGGACTGCCAATCAGTGAAGTCCGGGGATGGTACATAAATAATTATAATTTGGGAAGGTTCCACAAACAATATTTATTGTTTTCATTCCTACCCCTGCTTTCAGGGGTTTTGACGTAGCTATGACGAGTCATACTTTTTCACAGTTAGTGTGCCATTTTACCTTCTGGAACATGGAGATATATTAGAGAGCTTGCTGATGGAAGTGTTCATAGAAGAAGTGTGCAATCAAAAAAAAAAAATTAGGTTGGAAAGGTCCTCTGGAGGTCTCCAGTCCATTTCCCTGCTCAGAACAGGGCTGACTTCCAAGTTGGATTAGGTTACTCCGGGCCTTGTTCAATTAAGTTTTGAAAATCTCCAAGGATGGAGATGCCACAACCTGATCCAGTGCTTAACAACTCTCCCTGTGAAGACTATAGCAATAAGATAGCAATAGAAGTAGCCTATGTAAGTGAATATAAGAATATTTAATTAGAATATATAGGTGAAGATCATAGCAATAGGAGCTTTCTATGTGGGCAATAAGGTAGAACAAAAGGATAGCAATTTACTTACAGCAATAGCAGGTTTTTTCTGGCTTTGCCCATTGTCCTTTTCTGGCAACAGCAGTCAAACATTGCAGGTTGAAGAATCTAGTTTGGGTTTCTTCATAGGTATTTTTGATCACAGTGTCCACAGAAATTTATTTTTTAAATTAAAGTTTTCTTTAGATCCTTAGCTGATTTGCCTGTTTCTCTTACTCAGCCTTCCTCACGCGGAAGCCTGCATTCCTTTCAGGTGGTACTGAGATAGAAGAGGAGACTCCAGGGACACCTTATAGCAGCCTTTCAGTACCTAAAGAGGGCCTACAGGAAAGCTGGAGAGGGACTTTTTACTGTAGTGATAAAACAAGGGGTAATGTCTTCAAACTGAAAGAGAGTAGCTTAGATGTGAGGAAGAAATTCTTCCTTGTGAGGGTGTTGAGGCACTGGAACATGTTGCCCAGAGAATCTGTGGCTGCCTCCTCCCTGTCAGGGTTCAAGGCCAGGTTGGACGGGGCTTTGGGTAACCTGGGCTAGTGGAAGGTGTCCCTGCCCATGGCAGGGGGAGTGGAACTAGATGGTCTTTAAGGTCCCTTCCAACCCAAACCATTCTATGAAAATCCATTCTATGAAAATTCTGTGAGATGCCGGGCATGTCTGAACAGTGCAAGAGAAACAAACCGTTGTGAAGAGGTATCACCTCTAGTACCAGTCAGCACCATTGCCTCTCTTCCTATCTAGTGAGCACAACAAGTCACCAAGCTGCAGGACTCTGATGTGGAAGAGTGATGATACCAGAGCATCTTGATAACATAGGGTCAGCCTTAAGAGCAAAGTAGAAAACAGGTTTAGAAAGGAGGAAGCAGAGGCTGCTGTGCACAGCCTTACTAGTATCACTGCCTGTTGTTAAAGTACTTTTTAACCTGTCCCCCTAATGAGTTTTGAAGGCCTGAGAGGCACATGTGGGATGAGACACAATGAAGCATCAGTCAGTGCTTGGTCTAACAGCCCAACTGTGGCTGTGCTAGTAGCCAACAAGTCGTGCTTACTCAGACCCTGCAAATAACAGCAGTGTCCTGCCCCGGGGAGGCAGCTTTGTGTGTGGATAGAGCTGGAGCCAGAGGCTGCATTCTGAGCATGTAACTTGGGTTAACTCTGAGCTGAATACAGACATTAAATATGATGGTTCCGCTTCCAAGTGCAAGGGGCTTACGTGCATCCAGAATCTAACACTACATACATCCTTTCCTACCTGAACAAAAAGCTGTGCTATCTGAAAGCTTCTTGGGTAGCAGCACTGTAAAAAAACACTGCTTTATACGTGGGTTCCCTGCAGCCCCCGGTGTGTGCTGCCTGCACGTGGGAAAGTCATGGGATCTGGAAATGAGGCGTGTGAAGGTGTGCCAGAGTTCGTACGCCAATGCAGACTGTTAGGAACAAAACATATGCAGTCCATACACTTTAAAATACATGGGCCCATATACAATCTCTGTGTCTTATGCATCCTCATCCGCACAGCAGGAGATGGATCTCAGTGACAGAACGGAGACCAGACGGAAGGATGCCCGAGCTTGGAGTGATGAGATGCTCTGTTTAGTCCTCAGGAAAAAAAAAAAAAAAAAAAAAAAAAAAAACTCCTTTAAATTATTTTATTTTCCTTCTATTTAAAATGGAATAAATCAGTTCAGCCCCTTGCAGGGCTAAAATTGCACAACTTTAAGGAAGGTTAATTTAGTCCTCTGTTGATTTAGATTAGACTTTAGCCCGGTATATTTTGAGAGTATTGATTATATAGGTGGAAGATACAGCAGCGGTACCATCTGCCCATCCCGTTGCCTGGGGATTTTTAACCCCAGTAATCCAAAACTCACCAGAGCTTCCATCACCTGCGGAGTTACCAGCGTGACCCTCCAGTGGCGGTGGCTCACCTGCAGGGCTCAGCCCCCCTGCAGCACCCCAAAAACTTGTCCATCTGGGACCGAGAGCCTTTTTCATATGTTTTGGCAGTTTGGGGCCATCCCCTCAGCACTGGGCAGCCCAAGGCAGGTGCCAGTGGCCGACCAGGCCCAGCACCTCCTTTGCAGGGAGGGGGGCAGATTTGTTTTATGTCTTTTTTGGCCAGTTAAACTTTTTTTTTTTAACTATTATAATTATTATTATTATTATTATTATTATTATTATTATTACTACAGTTTTTCATCCCTCCCTCACCCTGAGCTTTCACGTCCCGGCCGAGGAGGCACGTCGCGAGCAGGGCCGCTGCCCG